ATATATAATTTATAGAAGCATGGGGTGTGTAAACTGTCATGTAAATCAACATTTTACCAAGAACATCTGTATTCTGGAGCCAAGCCAGACATGGTGAATAAAAAAAAAAACATTAAGTGCAATTCCCTTTAGCACATCAAAGAAATGGCAGCAAGCCTTTTAGCAACACATCAATATGACCAGTGAGATGGTAATAGATAGTAACTATGAATAATGCAATAAACCATAAATATGCTGATCATGGCAAGACTCAGCAGCCAGTCGTGTTTTTGATGAGGAGGAAGCATATACATATGTCACATTATTAAACAATAGGCCTGCTTTCTGTAATAATGTCTAACTTTTATTTCAAACATACTAATCTGTCCCACAGATTGATATACTGTAAATATGCATTTGCTCTTTCTTCCATAAAAGCCATCTCAGGAGATTGGCATGACTTTTCTCTAATTTCACATTGTAGCGGGGTGGGGGGTTCAGTGACACACTGGAGTTTAGGATCTGTCACAGAGGGTTAGAATGGCATGCTGTGATAATTGAAGACATCTGCAGAAATAAAAACATGAGCGTTGTAGAAAGACAATGTAGCATAGCTAGATGTTAAGTGTTGGCAAATTCATTTAAAGCTGCAAGAGAGTGATGGTGTGAAAACAAGAATTGGGTGGCTCAGTTTCACTGCCTACTTTGTCCACCGTTTTATTAAATCTGCGTAACAGTTTATGCTGGTCAATATATTAATTATGGCTACATGATCATAAAAACATACTTTTTTGTTTAGCATATTATAAATTTTAAATGAACATATAAAATACAAGTACTTGCTCTACTGCGTGTATAAAAAGTAAAAACGTAAAAAAAACAAAGATAAAACTATCCTGCCACCTTGTGGTGGGCAAACTGATGCTCTTGTTGGCTCACATTTTTGAACATCTTTAAGATGTGTTGTCAAATACTGATAAGAGCCATTTTTATAATATAACAGATGTTTAGATAATTTAAATGCAATAAAAGCTAATTTAAATAAAATACATTTAAATATACTTTTTTTTTTTACTAAAAAAAAAAAAAGATTATAGTTTTTTTTCCATGTTTATTTTAGTCCAAGTTTTAGTCATTTTGTAGTGTTTAAAATATGTCTACATTGTTTTTTTTGTTTTTTTTTCAGTTTTAGTTTTTTTAGTATATGAAGTTAAACTAACGTCAGAAATGTTGCCTTGGCAACTAACTGAAATAAAAAAAAAATCTATTCAATTTTATTTCAGTTAATGTTTATTTCAAATAATGAACATTTTATAAGGTTTTAGATTTAGATTTAATAACCCTGTTCACAGCTGTGTATGCTATAACATCACAAAAAAATTAAGGTTCACTCTTCATAAAACCTTTTAATAGAGATGTTAAAAGCAGAATGAAGATGTCTATCAATGTAAAACCAAATTACATGCCTCAAATCTCAGACAAGATCTGTAAAAGGGCAACAGTATGAATAATCATACAAAATTTTTTTTTTTTAAATTGGCAATCACAGTGAAAACCTCTATGACAGATCTGAATGAATCACCCAGTGATGTCTGCAGATCTACTCCATTAAATCCAATTTAACTTTCTATCCAACTTTCCTTAGAAACAAAATAAGACTTTAATCTTAACATACTGTATTATATATTTTTCATTTACACGTGGTGCTTAAACCTATGTAGTCTAATCATACAGCAATTCAGGTATCAGTGTATAAACCGTACAAATTGAGATCTGATACACAGAACTGAAAACACGCCACCAAGGGGAACAGTGAGTCAATTATGAGAAGCAGTGCTATGCACAATGTCATATTCAAGGTATCTCTGGATTCACAGTTAAATCTTCACCCAAAACAATTTAAACCTGGTTTTTCCAGCAATTTTGGAAACAACACTTTCAAAAAACAAACATGAAATTAAATAAAGCTACTGGTTCACCTTTAAAGATTAAAGAACAGGTCATATGGGTTTTCGAAAAACATATTTTTTGCAGTTTACAAACATAGCTATCCTTCAATGTAAACAGTCTGCAAAGTTGTTAATCAAAAAAGTGCATGATAAATACAGATATTGTCTCTCAAAAGAAAGTCGACTCTGAACCATTAACGAGTCGTCATATTTTCGAATATTCTGCCAGTTACCTATATACGTCACAAGGTAACACATTTGCATAATCCCCACGAAATACAAACACTCTGACCTGACCACAAACACTTCCGCTAATTAGTGTTTACATCATGTCTAATTGCACCTCAAATAAGTAAACTGAATGCAATAAAACTGCTGTCACATCACGTAAAGTACCACATACAAAGTTTAAACTTACCACTTAGAAAAGTCCTGATAAAGTCGTGCTTGCGATGGAGTTTCCGGTTGAGCGACTGCATCGGTATCATCCTTGGACTCGGGCTCGAATTGATAAGGTAATATCAATGCCATTTTTGTAAACTTAAAGCATTTTGTTTACAAGTAACCCTCCGGAGCAAAAAATTAATTATGGTTTGTTCCCTACACACATTGTATACGGAAAGACCAATCACAACAGACTTGGCCAGCTGACCAATCAGAGCAGAGTAGGCTTATTGAAGAAAGGGGTTTACAGACCTTAAGCTCAGAACTGCTTCGAACAAATTGTTTCAAAATCATTGTAATTTTCTCAGAATATGCATTTAATATTAGAATAATTTTTCAATGTTTTCTAACCTTAGATGCATTTAAACCTGTTGTAGGGGACTCCACCACAATATTAAAACACTTTAAAATACCATATGACCTGCTCTTTAATGATTAAAATAAAGGTGACCTCATGATTTGATGCTGCACATTTACTTAATTTCCACTTAAACATTCTTTAAATGTTTCACAAAATACAAAGTCAAAGGCAAGTCAAAGTTTTCAGACTCATTCAGGTATAATTACACATTTCACTGATGTTGGATCAGTCACCTCATGTCACAAGCTTATCTTTATTTCCACATATGTCTACACAACTGTGTGTTACCGTAGACAATGAGAGTGTTAGGGACAGGAACAGGCAGCGATTTATTGTTCTTTGTTCTCTTCCCATGTTGGAAGTCTTTTCACCAATGCCTTGTGGTCAGTTTTAATGCTTGCCAGCAGGCCGCCCTCGTTTCCCTCTGTCCCAGAGTAATCAATATGATCTCCTTTGAGAGTTGTCATTTGACCACCAAGAGACCTCAAGATGGCATCACCCGCACAGATATCCCATTTTTTGATGTACGTCACATGGATGTAAATATCGGCCGTATCTTGTTCCTCATCAGTGGGGTCTAGAAGAGCTAGTACCTTATATCCTTTGGAGAAAAAAAGACACAAAGGTTGCAGTTGTATTTCCCCTGCTGCAGTCTACATGACAATCACAAAATATTTACTTCTGTATCTCTGTGAATAAGTATATTCTATAGTAGGGTGGGATTTGAAATTGTATCCATTTGGAATTGAGTGGATTGTGAAAATTTTGGGTGACAAGACAGGGTTGAATACATACATATAAAATAAATACTATTTGAGCTGGGGCAAATTATGTTAAAGTATATTAAATATTTAAATGTTCATTAAATATAAAATTCTAATCAAATATAAACATTTATATTAAATTATAATTGATTAACTATTACAAAAAAATTTTTACTTTGTAAAAACATGCACCAATGATTCATTCACAATAGCACCAGAAACATGTATTAAAAAAGTAAATTGGGTCAATTCTGTTTTAATGTTGACTTAAATTTGGATTGACTGCTTGCATCAACCATGTACAATTAATTTAAATGTCTTGAAAAAGCTGTTTAAAAAAACAACATATTAATTTAATTAAATAAATTCAAAAATTGTTGCATAAATATTAATATTAGCAAATAAGTATGGAGATTCATTGTTGATATTAATATTTGTGCAACAACAAAATTAATGTTTCATACACTACCAAGAGTCAAAAGTTTGGGGTTGATTTTTTTTTTAATATTTTTGAAAGAATTCTCTTATATTCACCAAGGCTGTGATGATTTGATCATAATGCAGTAAAAAAAAAACTACTAATAATGTGAAATATAATTTTTTATGTGAAATATAATTTTTAATGTGAAATATATTTTAAAATTTAATGTGTTCATGTGATGGCAAAGCTGAATTTTCAGTAGACATTACTCGTCTTCAGTGTCACATGATCCTTCAAAAAAATCATTCTAATATGTTGATTTAATGCTAAAGAAACGTCTCAGGTTACACATGTAACCATGGTTCCCTGAGGGAATGAGACGCTGCATTAGTATTGGGTTGTTCTTGAACGATTCGTTAATTTTGAACGAATCTTTAATGTGACTCGGGAAGAACAAGTCGTCTTGGGGAGTGATTCGTTCAGTCGCGCATGCCCAACATCCTATAGGTTCTGTACTGGAATTAGTCAAGTAGTTCACCTGTTTCGAGTCTTCGGGTTTTTCGAGTCATTCGTTCATCACGTGACATCAATTCTCTTTCCGGCTCAGACTGCATTGGTTAAAGCGTATGGGACTGTCAAGTGATGAACGAACGACTCAAACCCGAAGACTCGAGAGGTGAACTAATCAATTCTCTTTCCGGCTCAGACTGCATTGGTTAAGTTTATGGGGCTGTCACGTGATGAACGAACGACTCAAACCCGAAGACTTGTCAGATAAGAGGTGAGGTGAGCTAATCATAGACTGAAGACCCAGGTAAACAATGAATTAATCTTTTCTGTTTCTTATAGCAGTTTTGTATTGTTTGTAATGTGATCAACGTTTGCGTAAGTAGTAGACGTGTTAGGGAAGTAACACGTAACATTTTAATTATATTTTGCTAAAATGAACGAAATGACTCGAAAAAAGATTCGTTCATTTTGCTGAACGAGACTCAAAGGTCCGAGTCGGTAAAATGATCCGAACTTCCCATCACTACGCTGCATCGAAACGCTACGGGTACGCCTTCAGCATGACCATGCTCTGAATCACGTGTGTAATCAGTCCAATGGATGGGCGAGACGTCACGGGCGGGGTGATGTAGTGACCAGGACGCTTAAAAGCACGTGCAGTGAATACAGCGGCAGCTTTCTGCCATTCAGCAAGCGCTCTGTGTGTGGTCACGGTCGGGGTGATGTAGTGACCAGGTAATCCTATCTTAATGCTTTAAAAAGTGTTGTAAAGCGGAGATTCTCCGCTTTTCGGATATATCTAATTTGTCTTATTTGCATATTCAGAGGCTCCGTAGGCTACTACGTCATCACATTTTGACAACATTGATTCATCAGAAGAAACCAATGCATTTCGTTCCTCTGAGCCAAACAGGAACAATTGTTGATGCTTAAGCCTGTGTTATACTTTCCGTGTCCGCAAGTCTGCTAGGGTCTGCTATGGTATGCGTGACGTAAAAATCGTCATCGGAGAGTGTGCGCGGAGGCTCTGAGCGGACATCCCATTTTTTGTGACGGTCAGTAGGCTACTGCGCATGCGCAGGCTGTGTGAAGAAGCCCATTGCTACTCGAACCTGTACAATCTGTCGATAAAACAATATAAAGACAGCCAGATGTGCAATAACTCTGGGCAATTCTTTGTTCACATGTTTGTTTATTGTTCAAGCCGATCTACTACGCATGTATGGAACACGTCCGCGGAGCGGACAGTTTCGGTAGTATAATTGCAAGTAGTCCGCGTCCGCGATGTCCGCGTTCGGATTGTACGTGCAGAAAGTATAACACAGGCTTTAGTCCCACCCCCGTACCCAGATTGGTTCAAACTGTCCCATATTCAACCAATGAACATAGGTTTTGGTCTTTTGAACCACCATTTAGGATTTTTCATTGTAAATTTGAACAAATGCAAAGTGAAAGTAAAGTCTATCGTGCGTGCATGAAAACAAACACAAAATAACACATTTGTATGAGAGAACTCTCTGAAAAAGCCCAGAAAAACACATGACTGAGTACTTTGACATAAAGCAAACCAAAAACAAAGCCTGTGTTATACTTTCCGTGTCCGCAAGTCTGCTAGGGTCTGCTATGGTATGCGTGACGTAAAAATCGTCATCGGAGAGTGTGCGCGGAGGCTCTGAGCGGACATCCCATTTTTTGTGACGGTCAGTAGGCTACTGCGCATGCGCAGGCTGTGTGAAGAAGCCCATTGCTACTCGAACCTGTACAATCTGTCGATAAATCGGATTGTACGTGCAGAAAGTATAACACAGGCTTTAGTCCCACCCCCGTACCCAGATTGGTTCAAACTGTCCCATATTCAACCAATGAACATAGGTTTTGGTCTTTTGAACCACCATTTAGGATTTTTCATTGTAAATTTGAACAAATGCAAAGTGAAAGTAAAGTCTGTCACGCGTGCATGAAAACAAACACAAAAGAACACATTTGCATGAGAGAACTCTCTGAAAAAGCCCAGAAAAACACACGACTGAGTACTTTGACATAAAACAAACCAAAAACAAGGATGAAACAGTGGTACATATCAGATATTCAACCAATAAACATAGGTTTTGGTCTTTTGAACCACTATTTAGGATTTTTCACTGGAAAGTCGAACAAACGCAAAGTGAAATTAAAGTCTGTCGTGCGTGCATGAAAACAAACACAAAATAACACATTTGTATGAGAGAACTCTCTGAAAAAGCCCAGAAAAACACATGACTGAGTACTTTGACATAAAGCAAACCAAAAACAAGGATGAAACAGCAGTACATATCGGATAAAGCACTGGAATTCTAAAATCGGTAAAATCGATTCCGACGCAAAGTACAGCTAGCGGATCGATCATTTATATTATGTAAATAATTATTTTATAGTTCATAAAGATCATTTTCAAAAAAATTTCTGTTGCACTCTGTATATTTCTCACTCATTTTGTCTGTAGTTTGTGAATCATTTGCACTGTTTGTATTTTTGTTGCAGAAGACAATTTGTACAATTGTTTTCACTAAATAGCTGCACGGTTTGTGTTTGTTGTTGTTCATACTCAGATTGAAAATATATTTCTCTGAAAAAAAGTCACTTTTTTACTGTGTTTTGTTATTATATAACAAGGATTCCATTTTCTTTACTCCCTAAATGTTTTTTAGACACATCTATATTGTTAGTAAACTAAATAGATCTGTTTTTCACTGAAAGCGTCTATAACAATATTGTAATAAATGGCTATAACTTGCTTGGGGAATGTTATATGTAGACAAAATTTTATTTGGAAGTGTAAAACACCCAGATACAACTTTCTAAAGAAAAACTTTCCGTGTCCGCAAGTCTGCTAGGGTCTGCTATGGTATGCGTGACGTAAAAATCGTCATCGGAGAGTGTGCGCGGAGGCTCTGAGCGGACATCCCATTTTTTGTGACGGTCAGTAGGCTACTGCGCATGCGCAGGCTGTGTGAAGAAGCCCATTGCTACTCGAACCTGTACAATCTGTCGATAAAACAATATAAAGACAGCCAGATGTGCAATAACTCTGGGCAATTCTTTGTTCACATGTTTGTTTATTGTTCAAGCCGATCTACTACGCATGTATGGAACACGTCCGCGGAGCGGACAGTTTCGGTAGTATAATTGCAAGTAGTCCGCGTCCGCGATGTCCGCGTTCGGATTGTACGTGCAGAAAGTATAACACAGGCTTTAGTCCCACCCCCGTACCCAGATTGGTTCAAACTGTCCCATATTCAACCAATGAACATAGGTTTTGGTCTTTTGAACCACCATTTAGGATTTTTCATTGTAAATTTGAACAAATGCAAAGTGAAAGTAAAGTCTATCGTGCGTGCATGAAAACAAACACAAAATAACACATTTGTATGAGAGAACTCTCTGAAAAAGCCCAGAAAAACACATGACTGAGTACTTTGACATAAAGCAAACCAAAAACAAGGATGAAACAGCAGTACATATCGGATAAAGCACTGGAATTCTAAAATCGGTAAAATCGATTCCGACGCAAAGTACAGCTAGCGGATCGATCATTTATATTATGTAAATAATTATTTTATAGTTCATAAAGATCATTTTCAAAAAAATTTCTGTTGCACTCTGTATATTTCTCACTCATTTTGTCTGTAGTTTGTGAATCATTTGCACTGTTTGTATTTTTGTTGCAGAAGACAATTTGTACAATTGTTTTCACTAAATAGCTGCACGGTTTGTGTTTGTTGTTGTTCATACTCAGATTGAAAATATATTTCTCTGAAAAAAAGTACATTTTTTTTACTGTTTTGTTATTATATAACACTGATTCCATTTTCTTTACTCCCTAAATGTTTTTTGGACACATCTATATTGTTAGTAAATTAAATAGAC